ATCGATTGAATAAAAATTCAGCTAAAGTACGATCTGAAATGTAAATCTTATGGCATAAATTCTATTCACAGGAAAAATCATACGTCATGAATCTAAATGAACCAATAGATAATATATGATATTGTTGTACTCTTTTTACCACGAAACATTTCAAATTGAATGTTTAGTTTTTTTTCTTTGTCCTTCAAAAAATATCAATCAGTCACCTGTCAGCTAACACTGAAATATGTATAATGAAATCATTCCATCAGTACATTTAGTTACTGACTATTACACTAAGAAGTACATCTCATTCATATTAAACCTATCGCGAATGTAAGACTAGTTTGTTGATAAATTAAGATGAAATTTTTAAATTTTCTTTTGTTTTTTTCTTATTTATTCTAATTTACATTTATAAAAGTATTCTGATCTCTTCTATTTATTTTTGATTATAATCTTAAATTAAAACTATTGAGATGAGTGTGTGTAATACAATGATCAAAATCTTCTTTTAAATAAATATTTAAACATATATTCTATAGTAAAAAACTCAAATGTAATTTGATTCAATGTTAAGAAGAAAATTTTTCTTGCGTATTTATTCTATCATGTACCATATTGAATTTAGTTTCAAGTCAGCTGTTACTATCAATCAATACAAGTAGTCAACTACTACTTTAGAGAAAAAATATCATCAATGAAAACAATTGGAAAAATGAAAGATGTAAAAACAACGCCCAACGTGGGGCTCGAACCCACGACATTGAGATTAAGAGTCTCACGCTCTACCGACTGAGCTAGCCGGGCATATGCAAACGTTTATTACATAACTGCTCATAACAGTGACCTTGGTTTACTCCTAAATTTTCTCATATTAAACCGAATTACAACAAAATTCAATTTTAAATATTTTCATTTTGAATTTCACTAAATGCATGAAATACAGTATTCTTAGAAATTAACAAAACAGTAAAGATTTTTGTAATAAGATATGACGAATCATTTTAAATAAGTTTTTCAGTTAAAAATGAATAAATGTTTGATTAAATATTCTTTGTTACAACTGTGATCAATAATAAACACATCGAAAATGACAACATCTAATAAGATTTTTCAGGTTTATTTGTGTTTATCGAGATAGACGATACTATTGTATGATGAAAATACAAGTTGATGCAATAACAGATATTCTTTTCTATTTTTCACAAAAATTCATGTTGACAAGTAAAGTTATCAAACCCACATCGATTCATGCATTTTTAGAAACTCATATAGATATATGTTAGAATTCTATGAATATAATTTTTTAACATTTTAGTATGCCGAAAAAGTAGTAAAAACCCAACATCTACTGTTCAAAAATCATATAGTGTGTTCAAATCTGTTTTAATTAATAATATTATGATGAATGCTACTGTGATTTGTTACACAAGTTTGCAAGCCCGGCTAGCTCAGTCGGTAGAGCGTGAGACTCTTAATCTCAATGTCGTGGGTTCGAGCCCCACGTTGGGCGCATTTCTTTTTTTTTTCTATTCTCTTCTATTCCAGATCTCCTTTCCACTGCTAATTTTTATACATTTATAGCAATGTTAGAAAGGTCTTTTTTTTTTTACTTTCAAAAATACAATTATTAATCAAGAAATATATTCAATGACTAAAATCGAACAACAAGGAAACAATTTTAAAACAAAAATAAGGGATAGAAACAATATTGACGGATATTTTATTGTGACTTCAAATAAATAAATAAAAAAGCACGGAAATAGACTGAAATCTCATTTGTTGTGATTTTCATATGTTTTGAGTAGTTTTATGTATGTAAAATTCGTTAAGAAAAGAATATCATAAAAATTGATGTAACATCAGAATTTTGTTTAATTAGTTAGAAAAATGCACTTTCTTTTTCTTTTATCTGTAGTCATCTCCGAACGTGCTTGTCTTTTCCTCAAGTGACATGAAGATAATGTGAGTAATTGCAACTAATTTAATCTTCCTTTTTACTGTTTCTTTCATTGCAGGCGTTAATGAGTTAGATAAAGATGGAAAAAACGAACGAAACATTTTCATCTAACTTACAGACAATAATAAAATAGAAATAAACGCATTGAACATATTTTTGATTGTTTCTTCATTTGATATTTTTATTTAATAATTATGAATAATAGAAGTTACAATGATTCATTATGGTTATTTGATAATAATAATGAACATGATTCTGTTCAATTTTCTTGGTATATCCCTTTAACAATAGGAGTCAGTTTATTGATTGGAACAACATTTAGTATTCTAAGTTTAATACGATTTTTCCGTCAAAATAATTTAAATACTCATTTTAATTATATTTATCATCATATGTTATTTTTTTGTTTATTTAATTCCGTTGTTTATGCACCAGGTTTTTATGTTGGTATTTATCTTTCTTGGTTTATTGTTTCTCCAGCTTTTTGTATGATATTTTTGATTCATAACTATGTCATTTTTGCTGGACTTGCTTATCTTTTAATGTGGGCAAGTTTAGAACGACATCGATTTCTTTTTCAAATAAATACAACAATATCATTCTTTCGGCAAATGTTTCCATTAATTATTGTTATTATATTTGTTTATACATGTTCAATTTTAATTGTTCTTTTATCAAAATGTTCAAAATATAAAGAATGTGAAGCATGTTTTATTGAAAAAGCTTCCTATATAATTATATTTACATTGTATACATTTGTCATACCTATGGTAATTATGATTTTTTCTACAATTATTTTATTACGAAGATTATATGAATATCGAACACGATTAAATAAACGTCGACGATGGATCCGATTAAAAAGAATGTTTTACCAATCACTTATTTATCTTGGATGGTATTGTCTATCATATTGGCCACATACAATTTATTCGATACTTATTGTTTATGATTCAAATCGATTTGATTCATTAATATTGAAAAGTACTTTGCATTTAATCAGTACATATGGTATTCAAGCATTACCTGTATTAACTTATTTTACATTTAAACCAAATAAGAAACAAACACAAGAAAAATATGTTACAGGTAATAAAATTGAAATTAACATGATTATGCAACAAAAAACGACAAGTGAATGGTTGAAAAATAAAAATGAACCATCAATTATTGAAAAATTTTAATTAATTTTGCTCTTATCGAACAAAATAAAGCTGTTTATTTGATTATTTGAAATAAACTTGTACATTAGAGTTGACTTGAATATTTTTTGCTTGCTATCAAACAATCATATATTAAATTTCAGTAACTTTATAATAAAATGGAATATATGATTTGAAACACTTATGAGTTTCTGCACTTCACGGTGACAAAGATATATTACTGGAAGCTCATGGATGCTGAATTACCCAACTATATTTCCAAAATTAATAAGAAAAAAAATATAACAATAAAAAACAGCAAACATGTTACGACGTAAAAATTATTAAAATCTATTTTTCCTTGTGTCTAACACTGATGAATATGATCAAGATCAAAGCTGATAATAATAATTGAAAATTGATTATTTTTGATTCATACATTATATTAGTTATCATTACTCCTTTTGAATCTATAAAACTGGACGTCTCGTTATGTTTCGTTGTGTTTTTATTTTTGTTTATGTTACTCTTCTTTAACTTCTATTCTTCATCAACTTTTACATAATGAATTTGTCGTAAGGAATCAGAAAAGAAATATTAAAGATAATTCTTGACATCTCATTAATAAATTCTATTTATCGAGATTTCATTTTACATTATGAAAATAATATGATTCATATAAACAACTGAATTAACAAAGTTACACAAACAACATACGTGCATAAGTTGTTCAAAAAGTTGTTATGCTCTATTTATTTTAAAGTGTCCAACATGATCTTAATAGTTTTGATATTTCGACAGATACGATTCAGTTACATTTGTATATTTATGGGCATGAATAATTTTTGAGACTGCGAAGCTTAGTTACGAATTAGTCAAAATTTTTCATTTGTTTTTATAAATTACTGAATGAACTACAAGAAAATAATAAGGCAAAACAACATGATTTTTTTCTTTCTCTATCGTGACAGTCTTCCTGAAACTGTCCGGAAGTCTCACTAAGACATTGATTAATTCACTAATGAGACATCAAAATACAATTGTCACGATACGAAACTAAGTCACTATGAATAGCTTCATATTGCATGATTATCAAAGTAAAAAGATCTATTCTTGCAGTCATTGTGTTTTCGTGTACTCTTTGAATCTCATTGTTTTTACATGATTATTGGAGATACTGAAATGTCTTTATCATAGGAATTAGAATATTTCACTACTTGTGATAACATATTCAGATACATGAATAATGCTCAAATATCGAATACAATTATTTTTCAAAGTATTTGGAATGTGTATTAGTTCTTTCTTTGAATTTTTTCGTTTGTATAATAGAGGTGCATATATTAAAATTTCTCCTTAAATAGAGAATAAATATATTCTCTCTTGAGTATTTTGATAGTTCTCAACTTGTACTCTGTTACATATGAAAATCACGGTTTCAATTCTTCACGAAGAAGGAAAAATTAATTCGTTATCGTTGTTGTACATATTTGCTAATAGAAAAAAAAATACAGTTAGATATTCGGATACTTTTTGGACTGCTTGTATATGCACATTTGTGCTATCACAGTAGCAGACAAAAATTAAATTATGTTGATGAAGAAAAAAGACTATATGATTAATACATCGGATTCCTATTTGGCTCTCCAAGGCCAAAGCATTGCCGAATTCATCTGTATGTGGCTACTCGATTCATCTGATTATTAACTCCTGGTCCTTCATTGCATCTCAATGGTCTATTAATGATTCGAGTGGTGACTGAAAAGTTATCTTGCTTAGCTGGTCCAGCCATATTATTTACATTGTAGAACCAAACTGCAGTTTTCATCGTTAAATCTTGTTGTTGTTCGACCAAAGCTGAATTATTAAGCAGATCTACGCCCAAAATCCCGTACAGCTGCATCATAATTGCACGGCTAGGATAGTTGGAACCAACCACGACCATAGTACAATTTGTCAGATACACCTTGAATACTGCACCATGATCCAGCATAACCAGAACCACAGCCTAATTGATATTCAGTTCTCGTTAAAATGCCAAAAGTTCTCTTAAAATATCTGAGGATCATACCAATCAGTATTTTTACTCGGCATTTATATGAATGTATTGAATTTTAACTCAATCGAATTTTCTTTTAAATTAAATTCGGTTTTTAGTTGGCACAGAGTCATAAGAAAGGTGCTCGTTTCCTAAGTTTTATACTTGTTTTAAAGAAAGGATGTGCAGCGGGCGTATTACAGTAGATCTTCTCTTAACTGACATCCACGATCAATCTCATAATTGTTTTTTTTTTCAGAATGAATTCTTTTCTGTCCCATTGACAACTTGTATTATAGAGTTCATGAGATTCCGATCAAATTATGTAAAAGTTAAGATAATCCTTCAATTTTATGAATATTCTAATTTGTTAAATATTAACATTTTAAACGAACAAAAAAAACTACAAGAGATGTTCCTATTACTCATAAATTTTCTAAAGTAATACAATACAAAATGATGAGCTAAATACGTTTGTGTCATGTCAGTAACCGAAACAAAAATGCTTAAATTCGTCGCTTTCAAGAAATACTTATCTGGAGCACAATATTCTCTGATTGTTTTCAGACCATCAGTTTCGTGGAAAACATGAGCAAGAAAAACAGCTGCTTCTTCCTTGTTCGATGGTTTCCAACCTGAATTTCTAAGATCAATGAGTCGATTGAGTCTTGTTCCAGCATCGATTGTGTTGAAAGCGCACGCAAAATTTTGTTCTGTGGTGATGGAACCATCTCCATTGATGACATTATTTTCATTTCCACCGCTATTACCACCAAAAAAGGGTTTCGCTGTACAACCATCACCACAATATGCTTCTCCCGTTCCACAGTAACCCCATTTTGATCTACACATAGTTTAATCAGGACAAGCAGCGCGTGACATGATATTATCTCGTGTGTCCGTTTCTTGTTCATCAGAACAGCCTTGAATTATACTGAACAAGCTAACAATAATGAATGAAATAAGCAGATATGCATGCATATACCGAATTGTTACCATCAATTCAATATAGAAAGAATAAAAGCTGGTAATAAAATGAATATGAAATGAGTGTCATGAAGTAAATATATGTATGCATAGCATTTGCACACAGGTGTTTTTTTTCCGCATTTTTTATCGTTGCTGGCATCCCTTGTATTTACACATTCGAAAAAATTAAAAAAACAATATCAAAAGAATGCTCTTTATGGTATATCATCATCTTTATAATCGCCTGTGTATTTCTTTTCGTCTTCTCTTTCATATATTTATGTCATTACCGGTTTCTCTCTGTTGGTTGATTATTTTTCCATTCATTCATGTTATGTAATAGTTATGTATTCAGACTCGATTAGAGAACGATAATATTATTAGAGAGAGCTCAATCGTCGAGCAATAAAAAATGAGAAAAAATTCATTTAAAGTGTTATTTTGAGAATTATCTTCAAAAAAATAAATAAAGGATTTGATTACGTCAAAAAGCAAAAATCTACTACATTAGTTTCATTGCATTCGCATCATTCTCATTCCATGAATATGATTATTTCAAAAAATATCATATCATATTATTAGTTTCATTATTTATGTACCATTTTCATTTCATGGCATTGATTATATCAGAAAAAATTAAAATTAGTCCATTAGTTTCTATACTATCAAACAATTTTCATTCGATGAATTTCATTTTCTTTTTGAAAACAACTAAAACAATTCCATTTGTTTCATTATCATTGCATCGTTCCCAATGTATGACTTTCATTTTTTTACAAAAATCCAAACAATTAAATTATTTTCATTACACTTTTTAAAACTTGAATCACCAAGTTTTTACTGATTCTTAGATGAGTATAAGATAATAATTGACAAGGGTATTTTTCTCGGTAAAATGTTTTCAAAAACAAATGCATTCCAGTATTAAGTCAATCATGGATTATATTAAGGCCATATTTACTTATCTTAGTTCTACGGTGGGATCTATCGCACCTGTACCTCGTGAGACACGCTTGGAAATTTTTTTCCTATAGTTTTAACTCAAACACATGCCAAAATATGGAGTTGACAAACCTGTTTGAGTTCTGCGAATTCTGAACTCATGGAACTCTCAAATGTTTAACCTTACTTACGAAACTCAAGCAACTTCAACTATTGACGCAACTCAATGATTTCAAACGACGTTAACATCATTATGCTTTGCTGATCCACAAATTTTTTAACAACTACAGTGGTATCTTACATTTAAAACTTAGGGATACTAGAAATGATAGTAGAAACGACAAATATACGATACACTCTTTTTCGTAGATATTTAAATATGGGTATAGAGAGAACTGAAACTGAAATTCACATCAACATCCTTCTTTATCAAAATAGCCATTATGATTGAGTGGCAAAGTTCGTCGGCATGTATTCATGAGGTACTGTGCTCAAACCCAATACCACTTTTCATAGAATAACCCTGAACAAGTTACTAACGACTTTTTGTCTCGGATCACCCGTTCAATAGCATGCTGACTAAGTGGTGACATATACATGCTTCTATGGCTAGTATGTGGCTAGTTAGTGGCTATGAGAAGTACAAACAATTGATTGCAAACATTTTGCGTCAGGTCGGCCTTCTGTCCCGAGCTACAGCTAGTATTAGTTGCAGGAAAGATATGAAGCTATTCAGTCTACAATTAGGTAATACCCCATATCACGAGATAGCTGAAAGACAAAAGTATTCTCCCTTCCTTTCTTTCTTTCCCTATGAAAATAACTTTTTTACTAGGTAAAAGATGGTGACATTGAATTTGTCATCACTCGAAAGACATAATCAAAATGAAACAAAAATAGAAGTTTATTTATAAATGCTCTTTTGTTTTGATTTTTATGCACAACTGAAACATTTATTATTTGTTTGTCGCCTGGTTTTGTGGTTGATATGGTGAACATTTGATCATCATGATACTTTTCAGTAAAGAAACAATAACCACTCAATCATTGTCTAATCAATTTTTTATTCATCACCAAATAGAAGTTTCTAGAGTTTGAAAAAAGAACTAAGATTATTATTGACTCTAGTTGATGCACTCTCTCGATGGAAAAGAGAAAAAAAAAATTTTGAGTGAAATATTTCTTTTAGTGATTGAAGAAATTTAGTTAAATCATCATCGTACTCCAGTAAACTTTGAATTCTATTAATGAAATACAATTGAAGTTGTTTGTTAAGACCAAAATATATAAAGAAAAAAAGGAACACCATATTAATGAAGTATTAAACTGTGGAACATAACGTTATTTTTTAAGTAAACAAAATTGTACACGAATATATCATCAATGATATATCCTTGGATCTTATTTTTATCAAGATTGCATCAATAAGCGCTTCGTACGTTCCCTACTGTGCGCAATCAGTTAAAATTCTTGTTCACAAAGAATAAAGATCGTTATATAACTTCATTATACTATAATTAATCATATGCTTATCTTTGAAATAGATATAACCATTCTTACTGACGACTGGTGATCCATAACCAGATTATATTAAAAAATTAGACATTATAGAAAAATTGTTTTTAATTAAGATCTGTGCAAAACAGGTGAGAAAACTCTACCATTTTAGAGCAACTTTGGTTTAATAAATAAAATGTGAGGAGTATGGATGTGGATGCAGAAAAGATTCACACCTATATCCTACTCAGGAATAGATTTCGTGATCCATTAGTTCTCGATCAGTGTAAGAATAAAAATTTTTAAAAACTTATTTCTGAAAACCATCTAAACCATTATAGAAAACCCGTAGAGATTCGCAAGAGTGTGGGTAAATAGAAGGCTCATATCTATTCATAAATACAGCTGATTAGCGAATAGTCCATGTGACGATTTCTGCTGCACCGAAATGAATTCGTCGATTACCAATGGTCATAATTCATTTTGATTAATATGACTCATGAAAAAATTAGACCAATGAAATTTTTTACCTCGTTGTGATGATGCAATACTTTGTGGTAGGTTCATATTGGTTAAGATTTTTTATGAATGATTTCATTTCAGAGTACAACTACTAACTAAATCTATTTTTTTTTCTTCTTCTAATATAATTGTAAGAAGTGAGAAGTAAATAAAAACAAAATCTTTCCCGTTCTTACGCAAATACTGTCAGCTAATATAGCGCACCTTTTTACCCGTCCACTACAAGTTTTCTTTTTCTGCAAACAACAACATATGGCGTCATCCACAAAGGGAACATGTGCGATTGCCACATGTAAGCGTTCGTCTTTCGCACTATGTCATTGCTGCCAAGGACATTTATGTATCAACCATTTGAAAGAACATTCAGATCTGCTCAATTCAAGATTAATACCACTTGCAGATGAAATCAATAGTCTATTGCAAAGAATCCAAAGTGATTCTTCAAATGAATCATCTTGTCTCAAGGATCTTGAAAAATGGCGTCGTGAAGCACATCAAACGGTCGATCGATTCTACGAGACAAAACGTAAACAGCTTATCAATGAGATCGGCAAAGATAAAAAAGTTGAGCTCAATCTATTGAGAAATAAAATTGATGAATTGATTCAAGAGCAAGATGCAACTCAAGACCAAATTGATTTGATCACAGAAGATATTCATTCAATTCAACGAGCTATTGATGAATTTCAAAATCTTAGCCTCACTATTCGTCCTTTCACGATCGATGATAATGTTATTCTACTTAAATCGAATATATTTCTTCCCCTCGGAACTGCATCTCGAATAATGTGTTATACAGCTAAGAGTTCTGCAATGGTGAGCAATGGAAAATATGTATTAATAGAAAATAAGTCGAACCTATGTTTAGTCAACGATCGATTGAAAGTTACCAAAACGATACCATGGACATTTGGTGATATATGGGGAATGTGTTGGTCATCAACACTCGCTCAATTTATCATTGTCACTCAAAAAAAATTGTTTATTCTTGATGAAGAAACAATGACACTTACACAATGTGAAATTTCTTCGGATAAGAATTGGTACCGGGGAACATGTTCTAATACAACATTATTCTTATCAACCTAGCAACTGGAAGAAGGATCAAATATTATTGAATACTCTCTTCCATCTATTGAATATGTGAAACAATGGCAACCACCTTTGACTTGTAACAGAAACGAATGGATAGAAGATTTTGAGTTCAAAAATAATTCTCTGGCGATGATCATCGTTCATGATAAAAAAGAGTATGGTCGTTTCGAGCTTCGCTCATCGATGACACTTGAATGTATCTGGTCGATTGCGCTCGATGAAGGTTATCGTTGTCGTTCCTTTAACTACAATCAATGGATTGTAATCAAGCATGAAAAACCAGAAATATTACATATATCCAATGATGGACGTATTCTAGAACAACAACAATATGATTCAAAGCTAAAAAATGTAGCTGTCTTAAATAATAATATTTTCATAATTAAGACTGCTGGTCGTATCGATTTGCATGAAATCTAAAAACTTAAAATAACTGTGACTTTGCACTCAATCTATCAATGATCTAAAATTTGATCCAATAAAATTTATCATTTTGTATATTTAGCTAGGCAATAAGAATGATAGAACAACATATTATACTTGTGGATGTGAATGTAGGTGAAAAAGGAATGCCAAATCTTTTACCCGAATATTCTACACTCACACCATCATTGATATGGCTTTTGCAGAGCACAACATGATGCATCTATTCTTATGGTGCAAACTTAATAAGAAATGTTCGATGTAAAAAATAACTGAAGGATACAATGTACGACCATATGAGCAAAAGAACTATGGATAATCACACAAGAATAGTTTCAGGATTCTTCTTTCTACTTAGTCAAAGTCAAAAAAAAATACACCGAAACATCTAAGAACATCAGAGTTTTCTCCTCGTTTAGATATCAGTAATAATTGCAAGGGAGAGCCAGATTTTCGATCTTATTTGGTGAGGACATTACACGATTAGTGCAGATAATATTTCCAATAGCATTTATAAAAATGAAAAATTCAACGCATTTTGACTCTTTTCTTTCTTATCTATTTTGATTTCACCATAACAACTATCATTTATTACATGAAATAGGTCATACAGGATAGTGACATTTTATTCATGAACATATTTGGCTACAATGCTAAGACATACATGTAAACGTCTATTGTCCATCTGTCGTTGAATAGAGGTCCGATAAATCATGAAAAACCAAAGTTAATCAAAGTTTTTAACTTACCAATGTTTTAAGATATAGAATAAGGAAAATGTGTACAGCTACTTATTCTGCCGTCTTTGTTCAAATAATCCTTGAGTACTAAATTACTAGAATAATTAACAAATCTATGTAAATATGTCGTAGACAAATAAACATTTGCATAGTCACATTTCAAACTAGTTGATATTCAACCTGCCTAATGAACTCTATCTACAATAAGCGATGACTCTACACTTGAACCATGAACACTAATATATTGATCTGAAGAAAACTTACCAACAAAAGTAATGTAGTTGCAGAGCAAAAAGCTAAATATATAGTTTGCCAATGATCTTGTTTTGTCAGAAGTGTTGTGTAATTGAGCATCTGTTCAGTTTTGGAATTAGTTTTTTTTATCAATAGATTCTTGCTATGTGGTATATATGTTCAATACTATGACTACTAGAGACAGACGATGTTATTTTTCAGACAATGCAATTTTTTAATGAATATGTTTCAAAATCTGTTTTTTTCTTTCTTTGTAATAAACTGAAGAGATAAATATAACTGAATATGGTATGGAAATATCAAAGTTTTCTTTTAAAAATGTTTTCATTTATTAACATTGATTAGATAGAAAAATGATAGCAGACTTAAAAGATTGGAAATACTAACAAGACAAAAACAAAATAAAAAAAAAAGTATATTCAAAATGAAGGTCCTATGTCTTTGATATTATTCTCGATGGAGATTCTAATTTTTCGGTATGTATTTTACTACTATCAATTTTATCCAGTTCACTTTTTAGTGTAACATCGATTCATTAGATAACGATGCTAGGAAAAACTGATGTGTTGACTACTTGTTAAAAGAAATCTATTTAATACATATATCTTACTGTACGATCTCGACTAAAAATTTTCTGATTTTATTGTGTCCTTGTTGAAGAACTTCAATCATTTTCGTATTCTATATTTTTTTATACATCAAATTTTTTTATATATAAAACCTATAATTATGCTGACATTTTTATGACGACGTACACTAAAGCATGTGATAGAAAGACATTTCTATTCTATAAAAATACTTGAAAATATTTTATATCAGTTTATGAATGGTTAGAAACTAATTAACTAGTAAAAATTTATCAATGGCAGATTTGAATTGTTTTATATAGTATGCGAGTTTTGAATTTCGACAAAATATAATGCATTGTTTTTTTCTTTCAATATGAACAAGAACAAATTGAATTGAACAAAATACAAATAAATTGATCTAGGGTGAAGAAAATGTCATCATTGATTCATCATCAAAATCATGTTCACGATCAACTAAAATTCTTGAATTTGAATTATCCGTCTGTCCCATTAATAATCTAACATTGACTGATTTTTGTACAACTTCTTCGGCAAAAAATTGAGCCATATAAATACGCATTGGATCAATACCAAGAAGACTAACAAATAAACTGATGATCTATTCTTTCGAAAAACAAAAATAAATAATTTGCTTTTTGTTTCAAATATAAAAATAAGCAAAACCTTATCATGTATCTGTGAATTCATTCCATGACAAAACATTTTTGATGCTGCAAGAATTGTAGCTGAACCAAGTAATAAGGGATCACGTAATCGTTGAGTAACATTTTCCCTAATTTTATAAAATAGATTATTATCAAAAGAAAAACTAAACGAATCTATTGAATACATTTGTATTTTATTTACTGTTGATGATCCACTTTCTTTTTTTGCTAAAATTTCAATAAGTGATGTCCATTGTAAATAAATATGAACAAGTAAAAGCATTGATGCATTATGTAAACGTTCACTAATCATTTTCATTTCATTATCTAAATTCTTGCGAAAATTGATTATTTTTAAATTGAAAAAAAAACTAAACTAACTAAGAAATCGAAGAAAATAAGACATAAACATATGAGGGGTATATTGTGGAAATATATGATCAATCGTTGTTAATATATGAATTTCAATTTCGATTAATTGATCACGATTTAATCTTGTTATTGTTGTCATATTTGGATCCATTCGCGCGAGTTCATGAAAATATTCCATTAAACGAGGAGTATCAATTGCTCGATCCTAAATATATTCTTTTCTTCAAACAAATATATATTTATTTATCAATATTTATATTGTCATATTGAAAAATGCAAGTTCATATCTAGATTTGAATTCGATGGCATTTATCTGATTTCTAAGCATGCGGATGAAGTGTTCTATCTACGGATAGACGATACATACAATAGGAATCAAAATCGATCTTAATGATTCGAATTCTCACAAGGAAAAAATTTGGAATTACAAGAATTTTAACAGAAATCAATGTATTCTTCTTCTTCACCTTTTAAGAATGAGTCAGATTAGTGATTAAGAAATCTATCAAAAAAGGAACCTGTTAGTACAATCTCAGTGGGATTAACATGTGAAACACAATGTAGTTGCTCTTGCTAACCACAGGACTTTTACTTAAACTTCGAGCAATGCAATAATGATAATGATGAATAAAACTTTACAAAAGTTGTTTTTTAAGTTTTGCTTTTTTGTTGAAGATAGTAGCTGACAAGAATCTGAAAAAGCATTTGTATAGCTGAAAGAATCCTCTATTAAGATTGATAAACTTGAAGATTTCAACAAAACTATTAGAAGAAAAGTCTATGGAAAAGCAAGGATTCAGTTGATAGAGCAAATAATTCTGAGCAAAATGAGACATCTTCAATTTCTCCATGATCTTTTCTCATTGAACTATATTCAATTTACCGAAAATTCCAAAGTGTTAAACAGGGCAAAAACGCTGAAACTTTCAATAGAAACAAAAGAAAAATGCTTTTTTGAATCTTCTATAAATTGGATGCAGTTCAATGAAGGAAATCCATAGAGATATCGGAAACATTCGATCTGACTCAGAACCATATGCTTTATTCAATAAAATCTTCTCCCAAAAGCTTCAAATAGAAGATACAAATCTGCTTTTGAAAGTCTTGATTTTCCACATACCCTCAACCAAGTAGTTTTGTTGGAGTCTCCGAGCTTGCCAATCTTAATAAGAAATGTTTTTAATTATCCAGGTGCTTTTTCAGATTCTTGTCAGCTATTACTATCGAGAAAAACATTGCTCTAAACTAATGTCCGCCAATATATATTATACCTAGACATGATTCATATACAGTCTGTGGTATTTCCATGGTAATATCTGTCACAGTCTATAGTGATGTGTCTAAATTTCTACTCTTATACATCTATACTTCTATTAGATCTTATTTGACAAAAAAAAATCATACTACCTATTTGGATTCGAAAAAAAATGCTTAACATACTATCAGTTTCTCGTTCAATATTTTGATGACTGTGAAATTTTTTGAATAATTCGAAATTAAAGCGAAAAGGAAACACTTATCGGAATAAAACAAGAGACGAAAATAATATTATGTCTGTTGAACTTATCTTTGACATATTTACTTGAATAGATAAAAAAAATCAATGATGAAAAAAAAACAGACATACACAAATTTGTGTTGCAAGTTGAAAACAACCAGTAGCAATAAGATATTTTTCTCGAAGATATTTTTCTTTAATTAATTCATATTGTTTTTTAAGACTGTTTGGATCTTTATTCATTGAGCTACATGCTTTTATCATTGAACAAATTAAATATCTTCCAAAAAAAAAAAAAAAAACTCTTTATTAAAAAAAGAAAAATCTTCAATACTTATTCAATAATTCAACAGAAGTGAAAAAAACTCGATCATCAAGTTCAACTTGATATGTTAACATATAGAAAAATGAAGCCATTGTTTTATTACAAAACTAAATATATAAAACAAAAATTAAATTATATAGAAAAAAAAAATTTCAAAGACTTTTACCGAAAGAAATCGACGACAATCAAGTTTAGAATCATTTTTACAATTAGCAATAAATAATTTCAAATATTCACATTCAACCATTTCTGAAAGAAAAAAAACCAAGAATTTTTTATAAGAAAAAAAAACTTCAATGATCAAATTTCGTGGTTATGTATGCAAATAATATTTCTTGATCATTTATGCAAAATATCAAATTAAAATCGATTCTAGTGACATGATGAGAATTTATTTATGAAATCAATCATTTTCTATTGGTTAAAATCTTTCAACCAATAGAAATCAATTCTTGTTCCTTATATAAATTTAATCATCGCCTGCTATCCATTCATTTTTGCAGCTAAAACACGATAAGAAGGTCAGAAAAATTTGCCATTTTTCTTAATTAAACGTTTTTCTTCTCTTATTTTAGAATATTTATCGATTTTCAAAAATGAGCGACAGTGAAGAAGTCTGTTATGAATTATTTAAAAGATTTTTTTCATTCTATTTTATCTCTATATTAGCATAAAGATGGTATGAGAAAAGGAAAATCAAAAAAACAGAAATCATCAGATGATGAAGATGACGAACAAGTAACTCACGAGGAAGATGGCGAAGAAGATGAAGAAGACGAAGATGATGAAGAGGTTATTTTGATACAAAACTTATATAATAAATATCTTATTCTTTTTTTTTCGTAGGATGAAGATGATGAAGAAGATGACGAGGTTTATTTTAATCAAATTTTTCATTTTTATAAATATAAAGAAAAAAAATGTTAAATCATTATTTTAGGATGGAGAAGAAAGTACAAATAAAAGAAAAAAAGGAAGTCATCAACAAAAACGAAAAAAAAAGAAAATTTCTGGAAAAAATTTTATTATTGATGAAGCTGGTTAACGATTTTATTTAAAAAACTAAGAAAAACAAAATAAAATCAATTTTTCTTTTTTGATAGATGTTGATGAAGAGGAGGAAGAAGAGGAAGAAGAAGATGCACCTGAAGAAGGTTTTGTTGAAGAAACTGGTATTCATGATACAACAGCAGCTGATTTTTATCGAGCTGGACGACCTAAATTTCCAATTGCTGAAGAGTTTAGTTTCTTTGTTTAGTTTTTTTTTGTTAATTAGTCAAAGTTTTTTTTCTAGTGAAATGGATCCAGCTGAAATGGAAAAATATTTAAAAGAACGTTATGGTCCAAGAAGTCGAGGAAATCGTGGTGATTATGATGAATACGATGATGATGAACAAGTTCCAGATGAAATAACACAACAAAGTTTATTACCGGATGTTAAATCACCTAATCTTTGGCCCGTTAAATGTCGAATTGGAGAAGAGAAACAAACAGCTTTATTACTTATGAGAAAATATCTCGCTTTAGAAAATGATGAAAAAGTAAAAACAAAAGCGAAGCAAATCCTAATACCTCTTAGAAAAGTCAATTTTTGTGATAAACATGAAAATTGAGATAAATCCATGGGCGATATCAGTGAGATCTGACTTGATTTTTGCTGGCTTTGTTTTATTGATCACGCATTCCGCAAGTCTCGAATAAGCTTCATTGTAGCAAATAGATTTGTTTTTGTTTAGAAGATCATGTTAAAAAGGAAAGCATTACGAAGCTCGTTTTTCTGAATTGACTACTTTTCTAATAAGAGCGTTATTTTACAGGACATTGAACTTTTCTTCCGTTAAAAAATAAACGCCTCTGTCAAAAGAAAAACTAATGAAAGCCTGCAGAAATTTTTTTATTTACAAAATGAACTATTTTTGAGTTTTGTTTTTCTTGAATTTCCCTTGTAGAAGATCGATTTTTGAGAAAGACTTTATAGTAAAATCTTTTTTTTTTCAAGGCATTACAAATAAAATCAGTTATTGTTAAAGAAGGTGATCGTGGTTATATTTATGTTGAAGCATTTAAATCAAATCATGTGAAAGCAGCATGTGAAGATATTCGTTCATTAAATGTACAAAATCTTCAAATGGTACCTATTAAAGGAATGACAGATATACTTCGTGTTGTTAAAACAACATATGGAATAAAAAAAGATTCATGGGTACGTGTTAAACGTGGCGTTTATCGAGATGATTTAGCTAAAGTTGAACATTGTGATATGGCACAAAATACGGTTACACTCAAATTAATACCAAGAATTGATTATAGTAGAAAACGTGGAGAACCACGTGGAGCATCAAGTGATCAAAGTGATATCGTACCTGAACGACATCAAGCATTTAAGAAAAAAAATCGTTTTGCTTTTAAACGACCACCAGCTAAATTATTCGATGAAGCAGCTGTCGAGTAAAGATTTTAGACATAGAAGGTTTTATTTTAGAAAAATCTTTTGTCTTTTTAAGAGCTGCAGGTGGACAAATAAAACGATTCCATGAATACAAAGCGTTTGAAGGTGGAAAATTTGATAGTAAAGGTTTTCTTATTAAAGACTTTCCACTTCATGCTGTTGTAAGTAATAAAAATCTTTTGTAAATATGTTATATTTTACTTTTTAACAATGGAACATTTCATCGATTATTATTATATTAGTTTTCTCAAAAACAAAAAAATTTTGAGAATTTTCACTATTAAATAAATCTGATAGAATGACAAAATTTCGTAAATTTACACAAAATATTATCAGCGAAAAAAAACTTTTTCAGATCAAATAAATTAGAAAGTAGTCGGAATTTCATCACTATGATCAGATGACGAAAGAAGTCTCCTAAATGATTGATAGCTTTTGAGTCAGAATCTTATGTATTATTTAGATGAAGGTCAAAAACTGTCGTAAAATCTAATGAAGTCATATATTAAAATCATTATCGGCAAGATCTCTCTAAAGTCTTATCATACGAATTAGCACAGAATTTCTGTGACAAATACTTTATGGATAATTTCATAAAATCTTACAATTACATTCAAAAGTAAATGGCCAGTTATGGAATTTTTTTCGTGAATCACATATGACACAATAGACTAATGCTAATTATCGACATATTTGTTTTTCTGGTTTTTCCTACATCTGTTGAGCAAGAACTGCTAGTCATACTGCAAACATGTGTCATCTTTGTTAAGTTTAAAATGAATGTACGGCTTGACAATTGCGTTCTACTCGTTTTTAAATAGTAGTTTCAAGTTGAGTATCATCATTCTATACTTTAGTAATTAGTGAAACTAAGTTTTGAAACAGAATCTAATGCAGTATAATTTGATTATATTAAAATCGATTTGATATTCTATAGTTAAATAATAATTTGTAATATATATGATAAAAAATAATTGCAATAATTAAAGAAAAAAAAACTTTTAGTCGGCCGACGGTATAACTCCAAGTATAAGTGAATTAGATAAATTTGAAGAAACAATTGATGGACCTGAAAGTAATGGTAAGTTTGATATTAAAAATATTTTTGTATAAGAATTTGTTTTAATTTTTTTTTTTTTTTTTTGTATTAAATATAGTTTCAATAAATAAGAGAAAAGCATCAAAAAATGATTTATTATCATTTGCACCTGGTGATCATGTTGAAGTATGTGAAGGTGAATTAATAAATTTACAAGGTACAATTGTTGGTATTGATGGAGATTCAATTCGAATATTACCAAAACATGAAGCTTTAAAAGATGAAATACCATTTAAAGCACATGAATTACGAAAATATTTTTCAGTTGGAAATCATGTTAAAGTTTTAAATGGTAGATTTGAAGGTGAAACTGGTATGATTGTTGGTATTGATGGAACAAAAGCGATTGTTTTAAGTGATGGAACGAAAGATGAAGTTAGTCAATAGACTTATAAAAAAAAGAAACAAAGAATAAATTTCTTTTTTAATTTAATTAGATGTCTGTTCGAACATCTGATCTTCAAATTACAAAAGAAACAGCAACAGGTGTTGATTCAACTGGACAATTTCAATTGAGAGATTTAGTTAATATATCGTATGTGTTTTTATTTTTCATAAAATAAAAAAATAAAAATATGATAATTTTTTTTTTATAGAGCCGATAAAGTTGGTGTTGTTATACGTATTGAAAAAGAACGTTTACATATATTAAACATGGATGGAAAAGTTCAAATTGTTCCAGTACAATCAGTCACAAAAAGAAAAGTAAATCGAAATGCAACAGCACTTGATTCACAAAATAATAATTTAAATGTTGGTGATATTGTTAATGTCAATGATGGACCATTTGCAGTAAGAATTCAAAAGTTTTTCATGTTTTTGTTATTTTAATTTTCGTAAATTTTCCGTTTTTTTCTTCTGTTAAGAATCGTCAAGGTCAAATAAAACATCTTTATCGTCATTTTGTTTTTATATTTTGTCGTACATTAACTGAAAATGGTGGTTTATTTGTATGTAAAGCAAGAAATTTATCATTAGCTGGTGGAACATCAAAAGTTTCATCAGTTCCATCATCAAATCCAATGAATGCACCTTATATGTCACCACGTGTTATGTCATCTCCATCACCGCATACATCATCAGCTGGCTCTTCATCAATACATTCAAATAGTCCAGGATCATCTGGTGGACGAACACCAAGTTCAATTGGAAGTGGAGGACCAAAAGCGCCACTTTCTACAGTCAATAATATTCGTCGTGATACAACTTTAATTGGACAAACAGTTAGAATATCTCAAGGACCGTATAAAGGTTATGTTGGAATTGTTAAAGATGCAACAGAGTCAACATGCAAAATTGAACTTCATGCTAAATGTCAAACAATTACTGTTGATCGAAATCGAATTGTATCAACAACGTATGTTTTTCTTTTATTCTAAAATACTATTTAAAACAAATGTTAAATGAGAAGTTTTAACTCATAAAAATAGAATTTAAGAAGGTTGAATATTCATATTGCGCTATCGCTAGTAGTGCGCACATTTTATAAAAACGCTACTGACGATTTTTTGTCCGGTTCCAATCATATGAGAAAACTGAGAATAATTTAGAACAAAACGTTTTCCTTCAATCTCGTATCTTGATGTGGTTTTGAAATTGACAGAGAACAAAAAAAAATCATTCTTACTGATGCAATATGCTGCACCATTAATTCCAACATTTTGAATCAGAACTGGAGTTTTTAATAAAATTCTGTTAAATTCAGAATCTGCTCGATGAAACTTGGTTATAGGAATTAGAATAATCAGATATAAAGAAAGAAGAATTTTATTGCAAAATAAATGAAAATCTTATTTTTGAAGAAAAAAAAAATTTCATTAAATCTATTCTGAATATTGCTGTAAATCTGAAGGCAACAATGATAGAATCGTCCTTTCTGAGTTTTATATTTTTGATCAAACACAGTTGTAAATAAAACTTATGAAAATATCTATGAAATGAATTGTATTAATAATTTATAATTCGTTTAGAAATGTTCCACGCCAGGCTGGTGAAATGTCTCATCATTTTACAACACCACGTCATGGTTCTCAAACTCCATCATATGCTACATTTGGTTCACGTACACCAATGATTGGTAATCAAACTCCAATGCATGATGGATCACGAACACCTTATTATGGAAATATGGTTTGTAATAAAAAAAAAAAACTAAAAATAAATAAATAAAATAATTCTTTGTAGACACCTCGTCATGATGGCTCAATGACTCCACATGCTCATGGTGGTGCATCAGCATGGGATCCAACTTATGCAACAACACCTAGGTTTAGATTTTATTTTATTTATTAATTCTTATTAAATTATATTTAGAGTTGATTATGACGATGATGATGGTCCATCACCATTTTCTACATTAAATCCTACTACACCTTCCTATAGTCATTTACCAGATGCATTAGCAAGCGGTCTTGGAAGTTCAAATACAACAGGTTCATCATCACATGCAAATTCTTCATCAGCAACAACATCAGCTTCCATTTCATTACTTTCATCGGCAAGTGGACCATCAAGTGTAGTTTCAAATGTATCAGCTAGTGCTTATTCACCATATTCAAATCATCCAACACCATCACCAGCTATGACTATGGATTATCAACGTAAAATAATTTATTTATAATTTTTATTTGAAAATAATAATATTGTTTATATTTTAAAATAGCATATAGTTCTCATATTCCAACACCAGGTGCAGCAGGTGGTAGTTTTTCTTCATCAAATAATAATATAACTAATGATCAATCATCAGCTGGAAATTATGTTTATTCTCCATCAATAAATATAACTCCTGTAACACCAAGTGCACAATATGCACCAATGTCAACTGCATTCGGTTTGTTTTAGTTTTAGTTTTATTTATTTTTTCTTAAAATAATTCTAATAAAAAAAAATATATAGATCTTGATTCAATATCAAATAATGATTGGCATACTGAAGGTTTGTATGTCCGAATAAAAATAGCTAATGAAGATCAATCAATTCATGTTGGAATGATTGGTGTGATTCAAAGTTTATCAGTAAGTTTTTATTAATTAATTAGTTTGTTTTTTTTCTTAAATAAAGATACATTCTTTTATTTAGAATGGAGTTTGTACAGTACATTTCACTCAACAAGATCGTCGAGTTGTTATACCTCTTGATCATATGGAGCCTGTTACACCAAAATTAAATGATAAAGTAAATTGAGAATTTTATCTTGAAATAAATATTTATTTATTAATTTTGAAGATTTATGTGATTGGTGGAGATAGTAAAGGTGCATCTGGTGATTTACTTGCAGTTGATAATCAGGATGGTGTTGTAAAACTTGACGGCAATGTTTCCGATGATGGTATATCATTAATTAATCTTAAATATTTATGCAAGTGCACCTAAATTTTTCGTTTGTGTTGTTGGTCTTTTTCTTTTTCTTTTTTCTTATATTTGAGAAGATGAGAGATACATTTAAAAAAATATAATCGTCTTTGTAACTCAGTTCCATCAATGTGATCCATCATATTTGAGAGAAAAGTGTGTGTGTGTGTGTGTATGTATTTCGTTTTTGCTTTTGGTATTGTTCTTCTTCTTCAAGACAAGTTAATTATGTACGATCTTTTATTCATAAAAAAATAAATATCAATTCAATCTTGACCTTTGTCGTGATTGTTCTATATATTGATTTTCGTTAATTTATTGTTTAAATTAATTTCCTCGTCTTACATAAATATTGTCTCTAAGATAATGTTTTTCATGAAGAAAATTTAAGCAATTAGTTATATTTTTTGTGTTATTTAAGATAAATGTCATCTAACTTATCAACAATTACGACGAATAAATTATCAGTATGTACATTTAATATTCTCGCACCTTGTTATAAACGTTTATCATCTGAATATGATCGAGAAAGTTCATATGAATCTGTTTGGAAATCACGTCATTTATCAATAATAAAACTTCTTCAATCTCTACAAATCCATATAATTTGTTTACAAGAATTTTGGTTAAATGAACCATCATTTTCACAATTATATGAATCTCATCTATCATCAAAATATTCATTTCATTATGTTCAACGAACAAATGATCTTGATGATGGTTTAGCTATATTTGTTGATAAAAATTATGTAAAAGTTGTTGATAAATATGATCTTTTATTACATGATATTGGAAATCGTGTTGGTCTTTTACTTAATATTGAATATAATGGAAAATGTTTACTTTTAATAAATATTCATTTAACATTTCCACATAATTCATTTGATCGTCGTTTAAGATTAACACAAATGAAAAGATTTCTTGAATTAATTAATGAATATCAAATAAAAAATAATCTTGTAAATAAATGTTCAATTATTCTTTGTGGAGATTTTAATTCTCCGTTTGAAAATGATCCTGTTTATCAATTATTAGAAAAACAATTTCGATCATCTTATTTAATTATTCATGGAAAAGAACCAAAAGTAACTCATTTAACACATCGTAATGAACAATTAGGTGTTGATTTTATTTTTTATCAATCCAATATTTTTCTCCCTATTTCAAGTGAATTAATTCCTCGTGGTTGTGATGAACAAATGTGGAATGATACCAGTCAATGGAATTTAAGTGATCATCGTGCACTTCTCTCCATATTTCAAGATAAACAAAATAATGATATTAAAAGTGATTTTTAATTCCTTTTTTTTTAATATTAAAAAAATGTATTTCCATTGTTTTTTTGGTTTTATATTGTCCATTAAATCGGTCGTGTGATTTATTTATTATAACATAAGAAAGGATATTTGTTTGATTTATTTTTTTTTATGCTTTAAAAGTCTTAGAAATAATTGGATTTCGTTAACAAAGTTTTTTGTCATTATATGTTCAGACAATAAATGCAAATTTTCCGAGAATAACATTTCGTACTTTATTTTATGAAATAATATAGTGTCTGTTAAAATGAAATAATAATAAATAAGATAATCAAGTTCAATAAAGATTCATTAAATGAAAGTTCTATGAATAGACATATGAAAGCTATTCCTATTCCTCATCTCTATGAAATCAAGACTAAAATAAAAACAATTGATCCTTGTTTATATTTAGTTGAACATTCACTAACAACGATCTTAGTAACTAAATGAATCGTTGTGTTTCAAACTTTTAGACAAGAGTAGAGAATTATTTTAAAATCTATGTTGAGAAAATTTTTGCTAAACTCGACATTAAAATTGAATATTTGCTTTGATCAAAATTATACAAGAAAGCTCATAAATAACACTGTGTTAAAAAAATGAAATATCTCCGCATCCATTCAATAAGATAGGTTGATTTTTTCATTAGTGATGCAAGATTATCTAATGATTTGTTTTTCATACGGATAAGATAAGCGAATATGACAATTAAGTATTATTGTTGGGATCGTGATAACAATTTAACCTGCTATCAAATAAGAAAAATAAATTTGTTACATTTCATAAATAGTTTTCAATTGTAATTTAACAATAGAAAATATTATACTGTTAGAAAAGAACATCAGATATATTTGGATCAATTTAGAAATCTCACTATCAAACTAATAAATTTAAAATCTAACCTACTCATAGCATACACTGAGCCAGATAATGGATTCTTTTAAGAATTTATAATATATGTAAAACGTTTACAAGTCAAACTTTTAACTGTAATTACTTGTCTGTTTTGATAATATTTGCCATAGAGTTTGGTGAGTTGTATAAAAAAAAAAAAAAAGATGTTTGACACTTTATAAAAAATTAATGAATAGGTTCAATGTACCAATATTGTTCAAATAAAATGAAAATAGACAAAAAAAATTTGAATTTTATGAAATTTTTTTTATTGAGTTTGAAATACAATTTCTCTAATGTAACTTGACGAGCTCTATCCAATCATCAAGAAAAAGAGAGGTTTTCAAATTTTGATGTGTAGATATCTAACATAATTCAAATACTTAAAATATCTGTTATCTTGTTCGGTGCATACCATGGGCAGATCAGATTTCAGATTTATTAGTTTGTCAGTGAGGACTTTAACTTGATCCCAATATGTCTCACGTTCTTTACTAATAGCACAAAACCTTCTCTATTTTAAGAGAATAAGAAGAAGAAATCAAAATGAACTTCATTAATGATACTATGTTGATGCACATATAGCAAATATTCAGAACTAGTTTATTTAAAAGTCAAAGATTACACAATTTTGAATTTTCGAATATGGAACACTGGTTTTTGCAAGGAAATTTATGTTTTGATGTCTAAAGTGCCGTAGTTATGCATTAGACTTACAGTAGACGATTTTTAACATTTAAATGATGAGTTTTGAAAACTTGCTCTTTGTGCATCAATTTAATATCATTCATAAAGTTCATTTTGACTTTTTCTTATTCCTTCAGGAGATAATTTCTAGTGTATTTTTCTTTCTTGACAATAAGTGAAAGTTCTTTACTGAAGCCAGAAACATAACTTGATGGTAATATTCTTTTATGTTATCTGTATGAAACAAAGTCTTGAAATAAGTTTCTATCAGTAGCTAAAGCAGAGTTCATTCGATCGAATTGAAGCCGAGATATTTCAATTTTTTATAATAGAACTATTTATGATTCATCGATTAGAGAAACGATTAGAATATATATACAAGTTAGAGATTGTCTTTAATCAACTTTGCATGAATGGTATTGAAAATTGTATCAAAAATTAAAATAGTAAAATGTAATTATAAGAAAAATTCAATACCATCAATGTCTTCATATTTTACGGTGAATATTATGTAGAATTGACTTTTATTTCTACGTCGATTTATTCTCTTTTACTATTAAATAATGACTACGATAACCCTTTTGTAACTTCAATCTGTTATCTAACAAGGACGAACCATACAAGTGACTATTGCTGTACATAATATATCGTTTGATATGTATCGTTTTCACCAGAATACTGAAGAATATTTTCTCTCATATTCTAATGAATATAAGTGAGATTTTAATTTTTAAAGACTATCACAAAATCTACTGATGATTAAAACAACTATTGAAATAGACAAGCTCGAAGATCAATATATAAATCGATTAAGATAATATAATAACAGATGTTTATATAATTTTATTAAACTTATATAAAAATTAATAATGAACAAATTTCATTGTTTGTAAATCCGATTCATTATTTAATTGTGTATCTTTTCTATAAAACGAATCATTATTAAGAGATGAGAAACATAATAATCGTGCTCCTCTCGTCATTAATTGTTGATGTTGCATTTGAATTCGTATTCGATTATCCCAAAGTTTTTCAAATAACATTTTTTCTTGTTCATTTGGTTCATATGATGAGGGACAAGATTTTGTTTCTTCTTTTTCTTGAACAGTATATTTTCCTTGACAATTTTCCTCTGTTTCAACAAGAGAATTACAATTATTTGGTTTCTCTTCTACAACTTCACAAGAATCAATGTTTTGTACAGAAACTAATGATAAACCATTACCAATATCTTTTAATATTTGTTTATATTCATCATCTAGAAATAAAAAAAGATAATTCAATAAAATAAAACAAAACAAAAAATACACAAGAGATATACTCATTGAATAGACAAATATATTATTTAATTGAATTGAATAAACCATTGTTGGTAAAGAATTGAAACTAATATAAATCTGCACTGGAATATCAGATTTAGCATGCTAAACCAAGAGGAAAAATAATAACATAATTAAATAATAAATTAAAATAATTATTTACAGATTTTTTTCGACTATTTCGAATTCGATAATAATTATTATCTTGATGAAACTGTCGTTTTCCTAAAGTAAGCGAACATTTACATGATTGAATTTGATATCGAAACAATATTCGACTCGACAATGGTGGATATTGATCAGTACGTTGTAGATAATTTTTAAACCATCGACTTAATATTTGAGAAAAATCAATCTAAATTTTATTTCTTTTTATATGTTTAATTTTTAGAGAAAAAAAAACACAAACCATAATATAAGCTGATTTTATTTCATTGAATGATTGTTGTAATAATTCAAAGGCAGTAAGGATTTCATAGCGAACATAAGGATGATGTACATTCAATGAAATAATAACATTTCCTTAAACAAAAAATAAAGCTTGATTAAAAGAGAATATTTATGAAATAAATTACTTTCAATTGGTAATTCTTTTGTATAAAGTTTAGAATATTTAAGTTTACAAATAACAATCCATTCTGTAGCGTTAGTTAATGGAGGTATTAGTGCTTGAAGTGCAGCACCCGATGTAACTAACAAATGTCTAATGATTTTTGGAAAAGAATAAAAATTATTTTTATAGTTCTTTTTTATTTCAACCAACCTTGAAAAATGATTTTTTGACTTATTGAATAGACCAATTTTTTCTCGATCTACATCATCAGCAAATACAATGATATCTTTAGGTATAATTAATTCCTTCTGTTTGGAATATTCTTCATTAGCATGATTATCAGTAGATATTGTCTTGTGTCTTAACAAAACAATACCCGATTGTGCAATTTTTAATTTAATTCCATCTGATCCTTGTCGATCTGTTCGGCGTTGACCAGATGATGATTCTTCAGTTTTTGTTTGTTTAAATTCAAGTCTTTTGGAAAGGATCGATGGTAAATGAAGAAAATCAGATAATTCGATAATTTTCAACGGTACTTCTTCCTCCATTATTACAGTATCATTTCATAAAAATGAATGAAAAAATGAATAATAAGCATACGAATAAAATCGTTCGTGCATGAACATATGCGCAAGGAGAAAGAGAGAGAGAGAGAGAAACTTATGATGCAACATAAAATGTATGTAAACCATCATTGATAAACATCGAAATGCATACAAGCTTACCTTCAAAATATAACTGAAAGAATAATTATAGATTGAAATAGATGATTACAATTTTGAATTAATACGTCTTATTTTTTTTTTCATATCAGGATAAATCTAATCTAATAGTTATTTCAGTAACTATAACAGAAGAAACCGTCATATCATGTCACGAAACAGCTGTGGTTACATATTACTTAAAAAAAGCTCTACTATTATTGACAAGAAAAAAACTATACATCAAAACCAAAAAGGAACCAGATTGCTGTTTGAGCGAAATTCAAGTAGAGAAAGCGACTGCCTGTACGAACTTAATATGTTAGTTCATGATTTCATATGTCACAATTATTAACTTTCATATCTATTCTCTTTTTATTCGAATTCTTTTTAGTATGTTCGTTTTTATTTTAAAAACTAGTCAATTGATATTGAACATTCTAAAATTTTACATTGAATATTTCTATCAAGTTTTTTGTTTGGTAACTTACAGAATCAAATTAAAATTATAAATACAACATGGATAATATTCCATCAAATGTGATTCTTTTATTTAATTTGTGTTTGTCATATATAAGCAGATTGATTTTGTCGAAGTTTTGCTAGTGCTTTAAAATGAGCTGATTTTTGTCATCGAAAGTATTTTTTTTAAATGAATTTGTAAATTAACTAAGTAGTTAGAAAAAAACAAATATTTTCCTGATTCTTCTCTAGTTTAAATAGATTTTAATATTAATTCTTTTTTTAGTATGATCTTGGCACGTTACTAATCTTAAATATAAATTACAATCGTCTCTCTCTGGTTTCATCAACATAAGCTATGTGATAATTTTTTTCAGCCGTTTAAAACTTCCTTATGGATAATTTTAAGTCACATAAGACGATAATTAGTTTATAACTGTATTTAACATGTAAGATACGAGCAGACTCTTTAAGATTCATTCATGCATCAATTGTTTTCCGCATATTAACCATCCTTTGAATGCTACAAAATTTTAAAAAAAGAATTCCGGATGTAATCCCTCGTCCAATTCTAACAAGTTCAGCAAACTTTTCAATTCGAAATTAAACTTAGGTGCTGAGAATGAACGCCTGACTTGAATCGTAACTCATGCAATCAAGTGGAAGAAGTAGAGCACTTCACCATGGCAACTGAGAAAGTGAAAAGAAATAAATAGACTACTGCATTTCGTAGTCAGCTATATTAATCATATCTAACAGAATGTTCAGATGTAATGACAATGATTATTGTAAAAGATAATGTGAAATGAACTACACTTTTCTAAATAATGTTTTTCAGTTTAGACATTTTCATAAAGTAAAAAAAGTTTACTCAATTATTATATTAAAAATTGAAATAGTATATAACAAACAAACAATGTCGATTAATTTTAATGATGGAAACTCAAGAAAAGCAAAAAGAAATATCACTTGAAAACTAATTTACAATCCATATCATAATAGAAAAAAATTTCAATATCAGATCACTGTTACGGAACAATTTCTGAAATCAAATAATCTCTTCATTTTATTTGGCAGTCATAATGATTGACTTGTACCGTTCATTACAATTTGATTAATCGAAGAATGAACAAACTAAGCAAACATTTTCAGAATAATACAAGCAATCAAAAAAACCTATTACTCCACATGGAATCAATTTTAATAAGTTAGACAAGAAATGTTGCCTACAAGTTCTACTTTTATTCTTTATAATTAGGTATGCATTGGTCTCATTTTAATGAGTATCCAGTCGTTTTACTTATCCACTTACTTGATCTATACCAGAGTTGTTAACAGACCAGCTTTGTTCGACCTAGTCTGCACGGCAAACTAGGCCGACTGTTGTTTCTCTTTTTTTTTGAATCCACTAAGTGCTATAACCATATTATGATGCGTTGTTCTTGTTTCAGTTATATACTTAATTTATTTTTATGAAGGTAGTATGAAGACAAGTTTTTGAACAAAATGGTTAATTCAAACAAAGAGATAAATCATTCAAAAATATTTCTCATACAAGAAACACTAGACTTTATCGAAATATTTTTGAATATATCATCACTATTTCACATAATCGGGAAAATGTTATTATGATACAAAAGCAACATGTGATCAGGCATACAACGTAAATGTGAAGGAGGTGTGGGTAACTATGTGTGAAGAGATGATCTACAACCATATTTTTAGAAAATCATGAGCTTTTAATTCCATCTTATGTTTCAAGTTATACTAGAAAAAATAGTATCAAAGGACACATAGGACAAGCTAAAATTTCAAAATTCAATCTCGCCTGAAGATCTGTCAGAAAGCAAGTCAGACTGACAACACTGATCTATATTTCGTTGAATGACTAATATTTTTTTTCCTTCTAAGGCATTGTAATTATCTGAATATGAGGTTGCTAAAGTACTGATATGAACTACAATATGGAACTGGTCCATTATTTTTGTATTATTACATGTTCAATGATGGCTATGCATCAAAGTACAAAATAATTTTCTATAAATTGGATAGACTTTTTAAGGACACTGAATCAAAATCAATTTTCTTATATAATCATCATTCTAAATACTCCCTTCCATTATTGGCTACTACTCAACATAATAAGTTTCTTTTACTGCCTTTTGTGGAGAAGATTGCTTCCTATTTGACTATTGCTCAAATCAGAAAGGAAAATTCTTATCCATTGAAACAATAATCAAAGAAATATGATTAACTTTATACAATTGATGAAAAGTTATAATTGATAAATACTTATACAGTATATAAGTTCTATTCTCTACATATATCGTTACAAATAATATCAATACTGCTAGGCAGTGAAATTCAATCATAATGACATGCGTAAACAATAAGTGCATAATTTCTGATATATAAAATACAATAATCACATTCTGATGAATGTGAACCTAATGAAACTGTTGAATAGATAATTCCAATATAAACTATTACAAAAATAGAATTTTCTTTTATCATAAGGATAGTACAATAAATTGTTAAGGATAACGGTATTGATATCATAGTTTAATAGAATTTTTTACAATTGCGTTTACATTTGGTTCAAAACTGTAACAGCATATTTTAACTATTATACTGAACTCGGGTAATTCAATAAATCATAGTTCAGTTAAGTGAATACCTAGTTACGATCGAATTGATGGAATAACTATTTGTAATTACCTATTATGAACTAAAAGACATTATCAAGATTCACATAAAGAAAAAAAAAATAATGGAAAAATATTCTACCCTTGTTTCAAACAAAAGAATTTTATCTCTTTTCGCTTAAATTGGTAATGATGAAATAAATCGAATAGAAAGATTTGAATAAATTGTCAAGCTTTTTAGTTATTTCTTGTTTGTCGTCTTACATTTTCTAACATAAATTCAAAAAACGATCTTTTCTTTTTAAAAGTACTAATTATTTCTTTTATTTATTCGTTGTTCTGAGTACACTTTAGGTGAATGAGATACGACAGAAAAAATAGTAGGAACTTGCAAGTAGGTATTCATAGATTGAATTCGGTGACCGAATTTATCCAGTCACTACAAGAACTGACCGTAACCTGATAGAACCGGCAACTATATATAATCGCCGAATTTCTAGTTTCAAGTTTCTACCATTTTCTGACGGGAAACGGCCTCCTTTCTGCGAGTTCCCGCCAGAAATTCACGGATCTGAGTACTGCAATCATTCATCTCCGACAATATAAAATTAATTTTACTCGCTTCGGTCTTTAAAATTTTTCTATTTTCAGTCTCATTTATTATTTACATTATAAGAAAAAGTACATAAAACGAAAATATTTCGAAACCTATCACTACCATTATTAACGATCAGAGTTATGTACTGAAGAGAAGAATTTATTTTATTGACTGAAATCGTCTTTTTATAAAATAGGCATGAGTTCTGTTATTCTAACATAGTAACTAAAGTATTAAGGTGCAAATAAGTTGTTGGTTACATTCTGTTTTCATGGTAAAGACAAAATAAAATGAGGAAAGTAAAATACAACATAAACTTTTGATTTTTACATGTAAAACTATGAAGAAATGTTCGAATTTTGCGAAAAATTTATACAAATAAAAATCATTATCATGAACAAAAAAAAGGAAAAAGTTATAGTGCTTTTAAGCTCAAGTGATTTAAATAAAATATGTTTTAATATCTTCTATTTGAATTCCAAGGAATTTGACCTGGTACTGCTTGTCGAACATAGGGATTTCGACGATAAGCAGGTGCTGGTGGTTGAGGATATTGTTGAGGTGGAGGGCCATAAAAACTTTGTTGGGATGGTGCATAATAACTTTGTTGGGGTGGTGCATAATAGGCCTGGAGTTGTTGGGGTGGTGCATAATAGGTCTGGGGTTGTTGTGATTGTGAAACAGGTTCTACTTGTACCTTAGATTTATTTGCACATACATAATAAATAATAAAATAAATAATGCAAAGGAGAAAGCATAAACCACCGATACCCAATTGCATTGCATGCACGAAAAGTTTAGCTTGACTTTCTGTATCAGTTTTAAATGGGCCCCAATTATTCATCAATGTAAAAAACCATTGTCGAAAATTGTAACTAAATGTAGCATTGGATGCCGCATTTGTAGTACATGATGAAGTCAACAAACATGTTGTAGGTTGAGCAATAAAATAAGCATCAAATCCAATTAATGTAATACAAGCCAAAATAGCAATAACTGTAACAATAACTGCACGAAAAGCAGGTAACGGTTTAGGTGAACCACATCCTATTGAAAATTGAATCATTGAAATTTTTTTTTATTCTCAATAATTTACTTACCGGTAGCAAACAATAATATAACGTGTATAAGCATAATAAGTCCACACCAACCGCCAGCGAATACATTCGTTGTCCAAAAATTAACTCCAACATTACCAAATTCAGTTATGAAAAGAATAAGCACAGCTATTAATTCAATGATGGCCATAAATATTACAAAACATTTTGGCCATACTTCACTAAATATTGTCTCGTTGGGACGTGCCATATTTCACACTGAATAATAGACAAGGCAATCTTCACCAGGAATTAAAATGTAAAAAAGAAACTGTCGTTTGTATTTTTAAGTAACAATAAAATGCTACTGTTCTGTGCTTGCAACAACTTTTATTTACTTTTAAAATTTTTCTCTTGCTCCGTTTTTTTTTCAACACCTACTCGTTCATTTGAATGCAGTTTAATAGATGTTTAAAGAAAAGCGGTCGTTATTCTTCACTTCATGATGAAAAGAACACTTAAAAGTTTGAGCAAATACACAAAACGTCATCAACCAATGCTTTCAATTTCTTATTCAATATTCAACTTAACAGACAGCGAAACTTTACCTTGTATTAGTCGATACCATTAGTAAATTATCTTTGTCAGCTGTTAATTTCATTTCATTATAATTAAAACAAAAGAGAAAACAATGCAATTCTTTAAAAGTCTATGCTGCATTTGTGATTCAAATTATAAAACTAATTGCATAATTTAGCATAGAATTTCGAATGTCAAACTAAAAATAATAAAAGCAGAAATGTTTGCATTGGATTTTTCATAATAAATTCTGTTGATTGATCCCACTGAAATTTTATATTACTCATTATATTTTTACAGAGTTGCTCAAAGGATAAAATACTATATCTGATGCAGAGCAGAATGAAACATTATTTTAACTTTATCTTGAGTAAGACCAATGTAGTTCAGATTAGAGTAAGATCTAAATTTGTTGTAAAATTAATCATTTAGTGTTTATTTGTAAAAAAAAGAAACTATATTTGTTCAGATTTCATTAAGATAACATAAACAAGAATTGCCTAGACGTATACTATTGACTGATATTTAGAATTTCATTTTAATTAATATATATATATAACATATGGAAAAGTAAATAAATCAAATCATTATTAACGGCTTTTTATCATAGCTTCTCATTGATAAACAAATGCGTCGGTATGACTTTGTGCACTGTGATGATTAAATTCACTTGCTCATTTTATCTGATTATATCAAGTTAATAATTTTGAAATGGTCGCAGCCATCAACGTAACTTACTTCTCATCAAAAATGGCTATTTCCCAGAGTAAGAATTCTGGATTGGACGTTGCCGAACATTTTTAGTAACTCCTCTATCATTTTCTAGTACCAAGAAATCGCTAAAATATCGAAAATCATTTGTTTTTGATCCAACATACTTGCAGTGAGACAAACACATTTTGATTTATTACACGTCACTTTTTCAAAATAGTTCTACTACTCTAACTGTTATATTTTTCTTTAAATTTCATAATTTCTTTCTAACCATGTTGATATATTTTATTTATAAATTGAATTTTACAACTATTAATTTGCTATTCATATGAGCAAAGATATTCAATGTATGAATATAATAGGATAGTTGTGTTTTGTACTCAATCTTGAAATAATTCAGTATTTTCTATAAATATCTCTTTTATCTAATGTTGATCGATTTCTAACTGATAAATATTTTTATTGATTAGACATAAAATTATTTGATTTTTCTGAAATTCATTCAAAGTTTATTTATTTTTTCATAATAAAATGGATTTGATGATATCTATAAATATTCTTTGTCGAATCACTCTGTTGAAATATGTCAACATTTTTCAAGCAGAATTGTCCTGAAACAATGTTTATCTAATAAATTCGAGTGCATCTATTAAATACATTTTTGAAATCTAAAGGTTATAAATTTACAACAGACATAAACATTAGATTTTAATAATAATAAAAAGGAAACGAATTGTAAAATAAATAATTTAGTAAAAATAATCATAACTAAATTGTTCAATTGAAAAATAAATACTTGATCATCTTTCATTTTCTTGTTAACAAGATAAACATGAACTCATTACCTACTTGTGTTAATTGAAACAATTGAAATTCAAGAGTATAGACACTCTTCGACTTTTTATTCTATTCGATCGAGAATAAGAAAAATAGATATTAGAATTTATAAAATCATTTGTTTTCTTCAATAATATCTTGTTTTTTTTTCTTCTGTGGATGCTTCTTATAAAAAACATCCATTAGATGAAATCATGTTGGTTCAATTACAAAAAAAGTGCAAATAAAAAAAAACATGCAGAGCAAAAAATTCTTTTATTAATTTATGCTATTTTCGTCAAAGCCAACATTGAAAAACGAATATCTCCTCCAGCATTTTCAACTAATTTTAATATAATATCTTTGGTACTCTAAAAAGAAAACAATAAAATATTACTCAAAATTATCAATCAAAACATCGGGACTTTAAATTTTTAAAAATCATAGCTACCTATATCAAATACCTCGACTAATACATTTTTTTAATATAATCTATTAGAAACTTTATGAGAAGAACTTAAATAGTGTCATAAATAACTCATAACAGTAAACAACTTGGTAATTACTTTCTATTTATAGTTTTAATACTTTTTCCATGAGAAAAATGAAAACTATATTCCATGACGGAAAAAAAATGTCAAGAATTCTTGACTTTGAAAATATAAAAAGTTTATGTTCGCAATTTTGACTAATGAATTAAAATGATAAAGTGAACATTGGATTATTACTCAATTAAATGATAGCATTGTCTGCTTGTACTTTTTTTATATCTATCAAGTGGCATGTTGAAATCTAGCTCGAGTAATCATAGAGAAAAGATGCATTCAAGTGAGCTACTTGACATGGCCAACCATTGGTCATCTACACATAGGATGAATTTCAATTTAAAAGTGAAGAAAATTGAGTCTACGATTAAACAGAGAACGATAGGTAGTATTTTAAATGAAAGCTTGTCTATTCCAGAAAAAGCATTTGAATAGTACAATACATCGTCAAACACGGATCGATAAGAAGAAAATTCTTCAATCTTTTATTAATTTATGAGCTATGAAGTACACTTTTAGCTTATGATCTTCCTACGAATATTATATGTCTACAAGTCAAGATGATACGTTCAAAAGCTATCTCTAGTCTTAATGAAATTTTGTAACAATACTCGCTTATAGTGGATTTTTTTCGCTCATGTTGCTAATTGTCGCAAGAAAAACAACTTCTCCAGATGAAAATAAACAAGCTCCAACGAAAACATCCATTAGTATGTACACGTTTGAATATACATTTGGAGTAAGCATCAATATCTCAACCAAATGTAGTGTTTAATTAATAAAAACCTCAATTTTTATTTTTCTCGAAAATTTTTTTGATCGAAAAGGTTGACAATTTTTTTAATTGGATTCTAGTGAAAAATACACTATTTCATGCAGAATCTGATGTCGTCGATGAGTATCTGGTTGCTTTTAACATTTTTGCTTGCATTCTGATCTAAATTGCGACTTTCAGAAAAAGAAACAAATTCTGTGATTAACACTATTTTCACTTTTTTATTCAATGCAGTTATGCTTGTTAAGACATCACCTGATATTGTGAAACATTGAATCACTTCTATATAAGAAGTTTATTACTATGTCGCTTTGTTTTGCAGTAAAATGGTAAATTCTCCGTTCTGTTAAAAAAGATTTTCTTGTGTGAAACTCCGTAGCGGCTGGTATTTTCAGAATAGATCAGCTTGATCGAAAGAAAAGTCAATGAGATTTTCACTAATAATAGACCTGAATGGCCTCTATTTATAAGGGAAGTTTCAAAGAACTGCTGTTGTCATTGACGAAGGATAGATGTTAGAATAAAAATAGTGAAATTTCGTAATGCTTCTCCACGTTGTACTGTCTAAAAATTATACAAATATTCAGAAACTCAAAAGATCATAGAAACATTAGAATTATTTTTTGTTGATGATTTATCCAGACTCGTAGATGATAATTTCACTAATATGAAACAAGTATAGTTCAGAGAAAATAAGCCACCATTTTCATCATCGTTCGCACTCTTTCTATTATAGCACGAAATGAGCATCTGTTCGACAAAAAAAGGACACTGTTGAATGAGGTCGTGAATCTGCTACCACTTAGAATTCAATTTCAACAAGATAGAAAGATAATGTACAAAATTCTACACATTTTTGACTACTTATTTTGTCTGTTTGTTGAATGAAAAACAAAATTCTCGGCGGCTAAATGTAAGAAGTTTTAGAGACCCATTACTTTTGGGTATTTCGATTAATAGTTATTGTACCTATAATTTTTTATTTTATAAATCCAATATAAAAACGATCTAGTGATTATGTTTTATCTTTAACTTGTGTCTTAGATAACACTAGGTCAAATCGGTACGATATTCGATCCTGTATTGTTTTTGAGAGAATCTATAGGTAAACATGATCATTATGTCAATCTTTAGAGCATAAAAAAAATGCTTCGATCTGCGCCTTCACTGTCTATACTAGGTTTATTAAAAAAGACAAAATTATAGATTGAATAGTTATGAACCGATATACCCAAAATGAATAGACTCCTAAGACTCATAGAACTTCATGCTCTATTTTTCTATCCTTTTCAAAGTGAGATCTAGCAAGCGATAGATTTACAACCTTATCCGATGCTGTCTTTTGTAGTAATCAAATGCTTGTATATTGAATACGAAACACTTAGTAATTTCATTTCGGAAATATGCAAATTGCTTACCATGATTCTAACAAGAATATTCCTTGTCAAGCTCTTCTTCTAAACGCTTATCTTCAAAGGAAAAGCTCATTTAATTCATCACAAAGAATACTATATCCTAATAAAAGACAGAAGTATTTTCATTAATTTAATAAAAAGTTAATGATGCAATCTGTTGATTTAGTCTTAGATATGATGTTAAATGATAATGTCAAGATGATATATTATCTCTTAATTGATTAAACAATATTCTGCAAAACTTCAAAATTGACTCACTCGTAGTAGATCAAGTGATTGTTCAGGCTGTATTTTAACAGAATGTTTAATTGGATGTGGATGTCGACCATCTAATTCATAAAGTTCATTATTAACATTGACGAAACATACAAAATGCAAATTAACATGTTCGTCTCGATCAATAACCTATTTTGAAAAATAAATACAA